TCCACCGCCCCCGCTAGCTCCACCCGCGCCCTTGCCCCCCTTGCTGTTGCCAGAGCGGCGTCTCCCGCTAGGGGCAGACGCTGCACCGACCGACTCAAGACCAACGAGGTCGGCCGCAGCGGCAGAGGCGACAGAGGGCAAAAGGGGGGAAGGAGAACACCCCTCGAAGATGGGGGTGCGAGGGTCACCACGAGAGGCTCCTACAGCGACTATGCTCTTCTCCGCTGCTAAGAGGGCCTTCTCTAAGAGGTCAACAGTGAGAGTGGTGGGACAGACTGAGAGGAAGTGGTCCCTGACTACACGAAGGGAGTCAGGAAGGCGGGTGACTATATAATAGAGAGTGATGTACATGGGGGGGGGGGGGGGGTTCTTGGCGCAGAACTCAGGAGGAACCGCGGCGCGGTAGCGAGTGTCACTAGTGCGGAGGTGCGTAATGAGGTCAGCGACTGTGGGAAAGGCAGCAAGGTGAGGGAAGAGGTACGGTAGCATGAGGCGGCTCAGTGCAGCAGTGGCAGGGGAAGAGTAGCGCGCAACTACAGCTTCGTACAAGGTCTGAGCACTCTTGTACTGACTAAAGTGCGCGCGCTCAGTGGTAGGCAGGTGGCGACGCACAGCAAGACGTGCAGCAGCATCGCGCGTGGCCCACTGGGAGCGAACAGTGGGGTGAGCATCAGCAGCAGGGGTAGGAGAGGCGCCAGAGGTGAGGTCAAAGAGAGAGAGACCGTCTGCCCTATCGCACTGTAAGAACAGCTGCAGGTCGTCGACCCAGACCTCAAAGTCAATGGCTCGACCCTCAGCGTCAAACGCGAGGACACTAGGGGTAGCCATGACAACAGTAGACTAGCAGTACCAACTGTAGGACAGGGGCAGTGCAGTGACAGAAGCGCTGCTCTCACCAGACAGGGCGGTTCGAGCAGCTCAGTACCACAGCAACACGGCAACACGGCTGCTCGGACGGCTCAGCAGCAACTGCGGCTCCGCGGCACCAGCGGCTCGGCTCCTCAGGCGGCTCGGGCGGCTCGGGCGGGTCGGGCGGCTCGGGCGGCTCGGCTCCTCAGCGACTCAGGCGGCTCGGGCGGCTCGGGCAGGTCGGGCGGCTCGGGCTGCTCGTGCGGCTCGGCTCCTCAGCGGCTTAGGCGGCTCGGGCGGCTCGGGTGGCTCGGGCGGCTCGGGCGGCGCGGGCGGTGTAGGGCGGTGGGGCCACTGGTAGGGCGGCGGGGCCGCAAGGTAGGTGGCGGGGCCGCAGTGGGAGGGGCGGCGGGGCCGGAGTGAAGGGCGGCGGGGCCGCCGTGAAGGGCGGCGGGGCCGCTGAGAAGGGCGGCGGGGCCGTAGTGAGAGAGGCGGCGGGGCCGCAGAGAAGGGCGGCGGGGCCGCTGAGAAGGGCGGCGGGGCCGCAGCGAGAGAGGCGGCGGGGCCGCAGCGAAGGCCGGCGGGGCCGCTGAGACGGGCGGCGGGGCTGCAGCGAAGGGTGGCGGGGCCTCAGTGTGAGGCGGCGGGGCCGCTGCTAAGGGCGGCGGGGCCGCAGCGAAGGGCTGCGGGGCCGCTGAGACGGGCGGCGGGGCCGCAGCGAAGGGTGGCGGGGCCGCTGAGAAGGGCGGCGGGGCCACAGCGAGAGAGGCGGCGGGGCCGCAGCAAAGGGCGGCGGGGCCGCTGAGACGGGCGGCGGGGCCGCAGTGAAGGGCGGCGGGGCCGCAGTGAAGGGCTGCGGGGCCGCAGAGAAGGGCGGCGGAGCCGCAGCGAAGGCCGGCGGGGCCGCAGGGAAGGGCGGCGGGGCCGAATCGACGGGCTGCGGGGCCGCTAGGGCGTTGGGGCCGCTAGGGCGGCTCGACGAAGTGAGAGCCCGGAGCGCGAATCGGGCTGAGCGCGCTTCGGGCAGGAAAAAAAAAAACTCGATGTGGTGGGCCCTAGGCACAGTTCCCACGGGGGAACCTGCTCGATACCATGAGGAAATTAGAACGAGAATGGAATGACTATGGAATGAAAGTGATACAAATATGCAACCCTAGAAATGTGTACCCCATATGGGCTACCCCACTAAAGCCTAGACAACATTATAATTTGACAGCCGTGTCTGCCTACGCTTCGGGACTAGCCCGAACCTCGCTGCCAATGTAGCACTAGCTAGCTCGCACGCACCGCGTTACCGTTTGCATGTTTCGCGTATATATGTTCGCTCATGCCTTCGCTCACATTTTGTACTCGTTTGACACCTTAGTGCAATCCTCGCTACCTCGATCCATTCCACCCGTAACACCGGTCCACCTACGACCCGTGAATAGTCATACTCTTGACGAGCACTTACACAAACTCTACTTTCTACCGTCGCAAAACTTGGCAGCGCGCGCCGCCCTTTCAATGCCAGTCACCCTAAGGACGCGTCACAATGGCGACATCGAGGGAGGATCACGGTCAAACACCGACCTGTGAGAATCGATCTCCCTCGAGCCAGATGTGTCGCGATCGTCTTCAGGTTTGACAGTTTGCGGGGTCAGAAGCGTGTTTCAAAGTTGTTAATGCAATATGTATGATTTGAGTGCGGTGACAGATTAATTTAAAGTGACATCGCGTTTGGTGACTTGTGTCGGGTCCTAGCGAACATTAACGAAAAAGGGAAACAAGCCACAGCGAAGTACTGTACACCCCAAACATCGATCTCCCGCAGGATCGGTGTTGCAATTGTGACGCGTCCTAACTGTGCAGTTGCGCGTAATGGTAACCCGGTTTTGGGCAAACTGTACAATTGCGCTCGTCCAGACGGCCACTGTAGATTGCATCTACGGACCGAACAAAACATAGTCCGAAGGTGGTTCGCTAGGCTGGTCCACACTGGTCCGGCGGACCAGTCCAAGGCATTTCAGGATGATGATTTTCATCGGCGGACCAGCAAGGGGCGGACCCGCGGACCAACCGAAGTGAGACACGTCCTGATACCCGAGTTCCTAGTGTCAGAATGTTATCTTATGTTCTAGCCTGTAGTGGGGTGCTCTATAGCGAGTACAACCCTTCTAGGGTTTGCTATTTGTATCCTCATTCCTGCTAGTTCAACCCTTCTTCTTTCTTCTAAATTTTGTCATGCTATCAGAGCAGGTCGATCCCCTTGGATCGATCCTGTGGGTGGGTTACCACCTCCTCGCTTCCGCTACCATTTTTTCTTCCCGCCGTGCGCCCCGAGGCGCGCGGCGGTTTTCTGCCCGCCATACGCCCCGAGGCGCGCGGCGGTTTTCTGCCCGCCGTGCGCCCCGAGGCGCGCGGCGGTTCTGTGCCCGCTGTGCGCCTCGAGGTGCGCGGCGGGCTTCTGCCCCGTCGTTCGCCGCGTCGCCTTCTGGAGGCGCCGCGACGGGCGACGGGGACCCTTCGCGGCCCCGCCGCCTACCTTCGCGGCCCCGCCACCTACGGTCGCGGCCCCGCCGCCTACCTTACGCGGCCCCGCCACCTACCTTACGCGGCCCCGCCACCTACCTTCGCGGTCCCGCCGCCCTACCTTACGCGGCCCCGCCGCCTACCGTCACGGCCCCGCCGCCTTCCTTTGCGGCCCCGCTACCCCACGTTCGCGGCCCCGCCGCCCCACTTCGCGGCCCCGCCGCCCTTCTGTCGCGGCCCCGCCGCCCCATCTTCGCGGCCCCGCCGCCCTACACCCGTGGCCCCGCCGCCCTCCTTGCGCCCCGGCCCCATTTCCCGTCGCCCGTCGCGGCTCCCTCGGGGGCCATTTACCTGGGGGAGGGGGGCGAGCGCCGCCATCCCACCCTGCCTACCCGCCATCCCACCCTGTCTGTGTTAGGGTTTGGGGGTGGCGAGCAGGGGGTGGCGAGTATGGGGGTGGCACTTCCTCATTCCTCCCTTTGCTCCTCCTCCTCCTTCGTCTCCCACTGCTGCAGCTGTCGCTGAGGGGGGTGGATGTGTGGGAGACTGGGGTTTAGGGTTTAAAGGGGGTGCGTGGGAGTGGAGCTAGCGGTGTAGCAGCGGGTGTGTGTCAGGGGGGGTGGGACTGTTTTGGGAAGTTGCACGGAGGTTGCCGTCGTGTCGCCAGCAGCACCTGTAGTCCGGGGGCTTCGCCCGGTAGCCCAGTCGTAGACTTCTACGCCAGCCGCCCGTGGGTCCGTTGCTCGTCTGCCGCTACTTTAGCCGCGGGGCCAGTTACTCCAGTATTCCGGGGGCTTCGCCCGGTAGCCACTGTGCCAGTCTGCCTACTGTTGCCCGTGTGTCTGCAGCTTCAGCCGTCGCCTCCTATCTCCTCTCCCCTCACTATCTCTCCTCCTCCTCACTTGCCCGTTGTGACTACCACTAGCTTTGCTCATAATTGTGAACTTTAAACTATTGCTTCTTGAACTTGTGCTCAGAATGTGTGGTGACATTCTGATCCACCCTGAGCTTGTACTGCTTTGCCTGCTCTGCTGATTACACCCCACTTTGGCTATGGGGGTGTGTCAGAATGTTATCTTATGTTCTAGCCTGTAGTGGGGTGCTCTATAACGAGTACAACCCTTCTAGGGTTTGCTATTTGTATCCTCATTCCTGGTAGTTCAACCCTTCTTCTTTCTTCTAAATTTTGTCACCTAGCTCGGCAGTTCGTCTCGTAACGAAGTGGGGGAGGGAAGCTCGTAGGGATTCGTACCGTTACGAGTGCAATTGAGTGAGCGAGCGAGAATTGCACTATCGAAGCAAGAGTACAATGAGCGAAGGCATGAGCGAAGAATATATAGCGAAACTACAGTGGTAACGGTAATGGACTGTGGTTGTTGCGCGACGGGCCTGGGACTGAGGTTGGGGAAAATGTCGAAGCGGAGGCCCGGAGCGCGGGTTACCCGCCGAGCCGTGAGGTCGGGGTGCGACGTGCGAAGGTGGCGGGAGGATTGTAGATGCGAGGGTCGCGAGTGGTAACGGAAAAGGAATTTTCCTTACACCTACCTATCCATGCACAATTTCTTTTCTTCATCCTAGTACCTCGTGATTCCAATCGATCACAGAGGTTTGATTTAGTCCGTTAGATCGTCCTCTCCCCAATGACGACGTCCATCGCCGTGCGACACACCCCACACGCGTCGCCGCCACTCGCTCAACGGCGTGCCGTATCCCGGCCGACGCGTGTCGTCGCTCTCTTTTCTAGGCGAGAACTAGCCATCCGATGCCGCCACCAATCGCAGCAAAGCGTTTCATTGCGACGACCGGGTCCCGCGTCTAGGCGGTCCGTGCGGGCAGCGGCGGCGGCGGCGGAGGGGAAGGATGGGGAGGCGCAGCTGTCGGCGGAGGAGGCGGAGGAGGCGCAGGACCTGAGGGACATTCAGGACATCGTCGAGGTGATTCGCGCTCGCCTAGGCCGTTCACGACATTCGCGAGATTCGCGACATTAGTGCCAGCTGCGAGCTCAGATATGGGCGGAGGTTAGGGTTGCGATTGCGGGTCTTGCCTAGTAGGGCCCTCAATCCAACTCTCCTTAGTGGACCCCTCCGCCGAGCCGCTCTCGCCTCCAACCGGCGCGTTCCGTGCTGCCCGTGCGTCTTGCCATTCCGGTCTCACCTTGGGGTCGCGCTTGCCGTTTTGAGCCGTGCGGTTCATTGCATGCCTCGAGCGCTACCTGCTGCACCATGCTTGCATCTGATTCGCCCATCCATTCCTCTCTGTGCGTGCGTGCGTCCGCGTGTGCGTGTGCGTGCTGACGTGGCAGACCATCGAGTTGCTCAAGGAGCGTCGCGACATGACGGTGCAGGAGGTGCGTTGCCTAGTCTCGCGACTCACATTGTGTCGCCGTCATTGTCCGTGTTTGTCCGCCCATGGCCGTAACTTCCTTCCTCGTCCGTCCGCACTCCTCATTGTCCGTCGTTCGCGCGCTCACATTTCACCGATCTCTCCGCCTTCCGCGCACCGGCTGGCGTCACGCGCCAATGAGCAGATCCGGCTGGTGCTGATGATCGAGGACCCAATTCACTCACTTCCCTGCGCGCCAATCTCCGCGCCAATCACCTCACTGCGCGCCAATCTCAGCAGATCCGGCTGGTGCTGATGATCGAGGACCCAATTCACTCACTTCCCTGCGCGCCAATCTCCGCGCCAATCACCTCACTGCGCGCCAATCTCCGCAGATCCGGCTGGTGCTGATGATCGAGGACCCGCGCGAGGCGGAGCGGCGGCGGCAGATGGGCATCGAGAACGAGAGCGGGTGCTCGCGCGACGAGATTGCTGATGCCTTCCGCGAGGTGTGTGGGGGGGATGGGGGGAAGGGGAGAGGTTGGGCCGGGGGTGAGGAGAGGTGGGGGAGTGTGTTGGGGGCGGGGGTTGGTTACTGAGGAAACTGTGGGGCTTTACGCTCCGATGCCTTTCGAGGAGGGGCTGCGGTGAAGAGAAGTGGTGGGGGCGGGGTGTGGGAAGAGGGCGGAGAGAGGTGAGGGGGTGGGGGCTGGTTGGTGAGGAGAGTGTGAGGGGGGTGCACGCATGCACAACGCTCGTATTCTGCTCGTCAAGTCCCCACCCCTGCCTGCTCCGCTCCATCCTTTGCCATGCAAGTGTGCACACCGCGCATCATCCTCCACCCTTAACCCCTCGTGCACACCTTCGTGCCCTTTCCCCTCTCCCCCCCCTCGTCTCCTCCGTGCCCCCCATTCACCCCTGCCCTCTCCACTCCATCCTTTGCCACGCAAGTGCGTCGTCCTCCACCTTAACCGCTCGTGCTTCGTGCCCTTTCCCCCTCTCCCCTCCCCCTCCCCTCCGTGGCCCCCATCCATGCCATGGGTGTGCGGCAGGTGTGTGCCTGCGGACCGCATGGTGCTGCGCAAGCTGGCTTACAGACGTTTCCCCCCCTCCCCCTCCTCCCTCTACCCCCCCCCCCCCCCCCCCCCCCCCGCCCCCCCCCCAACCCACCCCTCCCCCCCAGGTGTGTGAGGACCGCGTACCCGCAGACCGCATGGTGCTGCGCAAGCTGGCACAGGACATGCGCGACTGGCCGCGCCTACGGGTGAGTGGGGGTGGGTGGGGAAGAGGGGACTAGGGGACTGAGGGGTGATGGGGTAGGTGATGATTACGCAGGGCAGGACATGCGCGATTGGCCGCGCCTAAGGGTGAGCGATGGGGAGGTAGAGGGATACAGGGCATATGGAAGGGTTAAGAGGCGATAGGGGGAGCATGGTGGCAAGGGTTCAGAAGGGTGAGGTCTAACAAGCAAGAGGTGGATTTTTCTCCTCTGTCTTGTGTCGCCACTTCCCCCATAGTTCCCTCCCACCTGTCTCCCCCACGCTTCTCCCCTAACCCTCTCTCCCACCCCTCCCCCACAACCTTCTCCCTTGCGCCTCTCACTATCCCCTCTTCCGTCTCCAACACCACACTCCATCACCTTCTCCTCACCTCACCCCTCTTCACGCCACTGTGCCAGGAGGAGCCAGGCGTGGAGGAGGAGGCAGAGGGACCCGGAGGGCAGCGCAAGTCGCGGTACGCGCAGATCACGGACGTGGGGCTGTAGGGCCGCCCCGACCGTGGAGCACAGGCCAGCCCTGCCATCATGTGTGAGTGTCGGCTTGGCACCTTGTTGCGAGGATGAACTGGGGAATGGGCCTGGCGTCGAGCTGCTCACGCTACAGACACCGCACTTCCTCACGGGCCTGCTGTCCGCTCTTGCCCAGGTCTTAAGTTTGTCACCTCGTGGGCAACGCAAGTCCCTGTACGTGTAGATCACGGACATGGGGCCGGCCTGTAGGGCGGCCAGCAGCGGCCAGCACAGTAAGGCCAGGCTGGCACCTTGGCCGGGTCACTCAGCGGGCAGCGCAAGTGGCTGGAGGGCAGCAGCTTGCACTGCCCAGCCATCTTCGCATGCCGTCACGTGTGAGTGCCAGCCTGGGCGCGTATGCCCCATCTTCGGGCAAGGCAGGGGCACGAGGGGTAGTGTGGGTGGGTCAGGTAGGGACAGGACGTGCAGCAGGCAGGCTGGCTGCAGCAGGAGCCACTGCCCATGCTTGCCGCGAGTGATTGGTGCGATGGACGTGAGGGGTGTGTGGGGTGTGGCAAGGCCAGGCAGCAGGTTACCAGCCCGGGGAGCTGCCTCATGGCGTGTGGACTGCACCGAGAGCAGCTTCGCAAGGGCAGTGGGGCCACGGGTGTGCAGCTGTGCGGGGATGCACGACAGGGCTAACATCTGCCAGCCTGTTGGCCTTGGCGTGGAGCACGTTGCCGCACCTCTGCTGGCCGAATCTGCTGAGTGGCTTAGCCTGGAAACTCTAGACAGTTGCAGTGGGAAGGGGAAACGCTCAGCCTGAAAAGAGTTGGATCGAGTCTGTAGTCCGGTTGATGTTGCAGCGCGAAGAATTCAGGTCTGTGGGGTGGTTGGCATACAGGCGCTTTCCTTAACTGCTGCCTCACCTGTCGCCTACCCGGTGGGTTTAGCGGCACCCTGGTAATTGTTCCTAGTCACGGGGCAGCGGATGGGGTGGTGGCTCACCCACGACTTGCCTGTCATCCGCTCGCGCAGCACACATCCACCCAAGGGGATCCGTGCTGCTTGGAGTGCATCGGGAACTTTTTCGTTCCTTTGAAGTTGGCACCATTACTGCTGTTGGCGCTCCATACGCGTATCGCCCCATGATCGCATCACCCCATCATCGCATCACCCCATCATCGCATCACCCCATCATCTCATCACCCCATCATCTCATCACCTCATCATCTCATTGCCCCATGTCCCCTTCAGCCCATGACCCCTTCAGTCCATGACCCCTTCAGCCCGTGACCCCTTCAGCCCGTGACCCCTTCAGCCCATGAACCCATGACTTATGGCATGGCTATGAGCGAAGGTCCTCTGAGCAAGGACTCTCAAGATTCTCACCACTCACAACCCCCTCAACAAGCCCCGCGTGCAGGTGGATGGGGGCAGAGGGTGTGCCATCCACAAAGCCAAGGAGCATGGGCACCCCATCATCATCCATCTACACAGCCTTTTTCCCTTGAATCCCAACAGCCTTTAATTCGCAATGGCAAGGCCGATATTGTCATCGGTGTCGTTGTGAGCTGGGGCCTGTGAAAGTGGCTCAATTCTTTTTAACTGGGTGCCTTTCCAGCGTGTGTGCCGCCACGTTTGGCCCTTCATCTTCCTTGCCTTCCCTGCCCTTCCATGCACTGTCTGCCCGCCCTGCCTCAACCCTCCCTATTTGACAGGCGGGAAGCCAAGCTCATGACTCGCACAGTTGTGTCTCTCCTGGCATGAGGTGGTTTTTCCGGAACTGTGCTGTGTCTCGTGTCTCCACCATCTTCCACTGCGCCTTCCCACCAGCTGCTTAGTCAACTCTGAGCTGACCTTGCTTCTGAACAGCACTCCTGCTGCCTCCCAAGGGCGGCAGCACGAAACACGTTCCGTTTGTGGCAGGCATGTCACCATTTGGCATCATGAAACCGTTTTCAATATTGCTGCTGCTGATCTTAGTTCCCTTGCTTGTAGCTTGGTGTCTATATTTTTCCCAAGTGGTGGTCCCATAGGGTATGCCAAGGTACCTTTGCGTGCTCATATCCCTTTCGCTCAGACAGCACCATCATTAGTGCGAGATCTCTGTAGTAAAGATATGCACGTGCACGAAGAGCTCTCAGTACTGAGAGGCAAACATCTACCGTAATGCTGCAGACAGCTCTATGGTACCGGTAGTAGTATTCCTCCCTGCAATGTAATCCAACTTGCAGTGCGATTGTGTGTTGTGTTGCCACGCTAACTCAGTTTCATTCTATCCAGGCCTGACACAGGGAGGGGAAGACCCAGTGTTACGAGTGCAATTGAGTGAACGAACGAGAATTGCACTATCGAGGCAAGAATACAATTGAGCGAAGGCATGAGCGAACATTATATAGCGAAACTATAGTGGTAACGGTAATGGTCGCGCGACGAGCCTAGGACTGAGGTTTGGAAAGTGTCGAAGCGTAGGCCCGGAGCGCGGGTTACCAGCCGAGCCGTGAGGTCGGGATGCGATGTGCGAAAGGGGCGGGATGATGAATGATGCGATGGTCGCGGGTGGTAACGGTGCTGACTGAGGTGCTATAGTGATGTACGCGTTGAGCAGGGACGCGAAGTAAGGAAAAGGGAATTTCCTTACACTACCCCCCCTCCTAAGGAGGTCCTCCTTATGAAAGCGCGTGGATGTCTCGGAAATTGCGGCTACGCAGGTAGTCGGTGATGACGGGGTGATTTTCAACTTTCTCCAGGGGAACCCAATTGTCCTCGGTGGGGGTACGATCTTTCCAGCGGATCAGAAACTCCACTTTTCGGGCTCCTCGAGGGTCGCGAACTCTGTGGCTCAGGATCTTGTCGGGGGTGATGACTGGTTCGGTTGGTGGTCGTGTCATGCTGGTGGGTCGATGTCGTGGGAGTTGGCTGGTGGATGGCACGTAAGGGCGAAGTAAGCTGACGTGGAACGAGGGGCTGACGTACCAATCAGCAGGGAGGAGGAGGTGCGCGGTGACTGGCGTAACCATGTGACTGATTCGAAATGACCCACAGTATCGAGGGCGGAGTTTTGGAGTGATGGGCAGGCGGAGGTTCTGAGCGTCGAGTAAAACGAGGTCGTCGGGCTGATAAGTAACGGGTCTGCGATGGCGATCGGCGTTGCGTTTAGCGATGATGTTTGATTTTTTGATTGCTTCTGCTGCCCTGGTCCGTGCTGCTTGCAGAATCTCGGCGAACTGTTGTGCTCGTGGGACGGGGTTGTCGGGATTCGGTGTCATGGGTACTGTTGGGTCCTGTCCGTAATTCAAGTAAAACGGCGACTGTTGCGTCGTGGCTGATGGTGCGTTATTGTATGCGAACTCGATGAGTGGCAGCTGCTGTTTGTGAAACAAATGACCAGGAATGAAAGAGGAATGAACTAGCAGAAATGGGGATACAAATAGCAAACCCTAGAAGGGTTGTACTCGCTATAGAGCACCCCACTACAGGCTAGAACATAAGAATAATATTCTGACACACCCCCATAGCCAAAGTGGGGTGTAATCAGCAGAGCAGGCAAAGTAGTACAAGCTCAGGGTGGATCACAATGTCACCACACATTCTGAGCACAAGTTCAAGCAGAGATAGTTTAGAGTTCACAATTATGAGCAGAGCTAGTGGTAGTCACAACGGGCAAGTGAGGAGGAGGAGAGAGAGTGAGGGGAGAGGAGATAGGAGGCGACGGCTGAAGCTGCAGGCACACGGGCAACAGGAGGCACACTGGCACAGCGGCTACCGGACAGCGCCCGGACTACAGGAGTAACAGGCCCCGCGGCTCAAATAGCGGCGGACGGGCAACGGACCCACGGGCGGCTGGCACAGCTGGCTACGACTGGGCTACCGGGACAGCGCCCCGGACTACAGGTGCTGCGAACGACAAACTGACAACCTCCACTCAACCTCCCGCACACAGTCCCACCCCCCTGATGCACACCCACTGCTACACCGCTAGCTGCACTCCCACGCACCCCCCTTAAACCCTAAACCCGAGTCTCCCACACAACCACCCCCCTCAGCGACAGCTGCAGCAGTGGGAGAAGAAGGAGGAGGAGAGTACACCGGCCACCCCCATACCCGCCACCCCACAGCAAGCGGCCCCCTCAGGTCGCCTCGACGGACGACGGGAAATGGCAGGGGGAGGGGGGGGGGGGGGGGGGGGGGGGGGGGGGGGGGGCGGTGTGGTGAAAGGGGCCCACCACGGGCCTGGTTGGAGGGCGGGGCCGCGACAAGGGGCGGGGTCGCGACGAGGGGCGGGGCCGCGACGGTCGGGCAGGGCCGCTTCGAGGGGCGGGGCCGCGACACAGGGGCGGGGCCGCGACGAGGGGCGGGGCCGCGACGGTCGGGTAGGGCCACTTCGAGGGGCGGGGCCGCGACACAGGGCGGGGCCGCGACGTAGGGCGGGGCCGCGACAGTCGGGGCGGGACCGCGACGTAGGGCAGGGCCGCTTCGAGGGGCGGGGCCGCGACACAGGGCGGGGCCGCGACGTAGGGCGGGGCCGCGACGGTCGGGGCGGGGCCGCGACGTAGGGCAGGGCCGCTTCGAGGGGCGGGGCCGCGACACAGGGCGGGGCCGCGACGTAGGGCGGGGCCGCGACGGTCGGGGCGGGGCCGCGACGTAGGGCAGGGCCGCGACGAGGGCGGGGCCGCGACGGTCGGGGCGGACGCCCGCCGCGCGCCTCGGGGCGCACAGCGGACAGAGAACCGCCGCGCGCCACGGGGCGCACGGCGGGCAGAAAACCGCCGCGCGCCTCGGGGCGCACGGCGGGAAAGAAAACCGTCGCGCGCCACGGGGCGCACGGCGGGAAGGAAAGGTAGCAGCGGAAGCGAGGTGGTAACCCACCCACAGGATCGATCCAAGGGGATCGACCTGCTCTGATAGCATGACAAGGTTTGAAGAAAGAGGAATGAACTAGCAGGGAATGGGGATACAAATAGCAAACCCTAGAAGGGTTGTACTCGCTATAGAGCACCCCACTACAGGCTAGAACATAAGAATAATATTCTGACACTGTTCCCACGTATTCGGATCGTCGCACGTGGCTCGAATCAGCTGCTCCATGGTCTGATTTGTCCGTTCCGTCTGTCCGTCGGTTTCGGGGTGATAGGATGAACTGAACTGTAAGCGCGTGCCGAACTGCTGCCACAGGTTCCGCCAGAAGTTGCTTGTAAATTTCGTGTCCCTGTCGCTGATGATCGATGCGGGTATCCCGTGCAGTCGAACGACGGTGGTGATGAAGAGTCGGGCGGTTTCCTCGGCTGTGATTGATTTCCTGCATGCTGCGAAATGAGCCATCTTCGTTAGTCGATCGACGACGACCAGGATCGCGTCATTCCCACTCGCCCCAGCTGGTAACCCCGTGACGAAATCCATCGTCACCTGCTGCCAAGCACGCTCTGGGGGCGGGATGGGTTGTAATTGTCCCGCCGGCCGCTTCCTGCTTGACTTCATGAGCTGGCAAGTGGGGCACGATGCCACGTGTCGTTGCACATCGGTCAACATTTCTGGCCAGTAGTAGTACCGCTGCAGCTGCTGCCGTGTTTTTTCTACCCCGAAATGTCCCGATGTAACTCCGTCGTGTGCTTCCTGTAACAGTAGTTCCCGCAGTAGCGTGTATCCTGGTACCCAGATGCGGTCGGTTCCAGCTTTTACGTAATAGACTCCTTTTGCCGCTGCGAATTGCTGTGAGTTGCCTCCTGTAAAGAACGGGTCTGTTTGATATCCGTGGGTAAATAGGCCTGTCAGTAGCGGGCTGGTCTGGGCGAGTAGTATCGCGTGGATTTGGGCAGTGGGGCGGGTCAGTGCGTCGGCGATATTCGAGGCTCCTTTTTTGTATGTGACCGTATAGTGAAAATTCGACTCGAGGAAATCGAGCCATCGAATCTGTCGTGGGTTGAGGTGGGGCTGTGCACGGAGGTACTGTAGAGATCGATGGTCTGTCCGTACTGTCACGTCTGCGCCGGTCAAGTAGCAGCGCCACACTTTGAATGCGTGCACGATCGCGAGCATTTCGCGGTCGTGTATCGGGTAATTTCGCTCAGGCGGATGTAGTTTGCGTGATTCGTAGGCGATGGGTTGGAGGCCGTCGCCGAAGTCCTGTAACAGTACAGCTCCGATGGCGATGTCACTTGCGTCGGTAACCACTTCGAAAGGGCGGTTGGGATCAGCGATGCGTAGAACGGGTGGTGAACAGAGAACGTCTTTCAGGGCAGAGAAGGCAGCATGCTCTTTCTCCCCCCACGTAAAAGCGACCCCCTTACGCAGTAAATCAGTGAGTGGTGCTGTTAAACGTGCCATGTCGGGCACGAACCGTCGAACGTAATTAACAAAACCTAAAAAACTCTGCAGTTCCGTGATGTTTGTCGGGGGGCGCCACGCTTTTACCGTATCCAGCTTCTTTGGGTCAATCTCAACCCCAGCCTCCGAAATGACGTGACCCAAAAACTCTAGCCTGTCCCGAAAAAACTCGCACTTGGAGCCCTTGGTGAGTAGCCGATGTTCCTCCAAAACCTTAACAACTGCTTCAAGATCCACTAAGTGTTGCTGCTTATCCCGGCTGTAAACTAGAATATCGTCCAGGTAAACTATCACGCATTTATCTAAAAGTGGTCTAAACGCCTCGTTCATGGTCATCTGAAATGTCGCAGGCGCGTTCGTCAGCCCGAATGGCATTACTGTATACTCGAATGACCCGTACCTAGTCCTAAATGC